TCCACAAGAGTGACGTTGGGGGTGCGTACCCTTCCCACCCTACTGACGCTCTCAAGCAAAACCCATGAGCCTATCGCCGCGTCCGGATCTCCGCTGTAGTCTACTTGTCTTAGGGCAGCTTCATATTGCGCGTACTGTGTGGTCTACTTCCAGCTGCACACAGTAGTCGTACAGGTGGCGCTGCGGAGATCGCTGAATGATCAACCCACCGAACCACCCCATGCCCAGCCGAGCAAGCACTCCACGTTGCAAAAGCAATCTGTCAAGAGCAGCGGGGGTAGATTCTTGAAGGCGAAAGCCCGCCGGGATCTCCATTCCCTGCGTCTCGTCCTCCGGGTCGTCTGGGTCCATGCTGTCGTCCTCGTCCAAAAGAGCTAGCTCGTCGGTCTGGGATTGAGACATGTCTGCGACGAAGGGTACCGTGAAACACGAGAAGGAACGTACGGGTGTCATCGCCGTTACTCAACTGAAGTGAACACACCATTTGTTCGTAGACGTGACGCGGAAACAGAATGTCAGCAATAATATCCCAAACAGCACAAGAAAAGATGAACAAAAAGGACAATGAATCTACTGTGTAGTCTATGTAGTGCCAATCAAACTTACTGTCGTAGGCGCCGCTCCGGGGCCGGAGGTGGGAAGTTGATACCGGACACATGCTCTGTGACACCACCGCGAGTCCGCTCAATCTGCACGGCGCGGTATGAGAAGGGCGGAATTGAGGTGCAGGTGATTCAACGAACTGTGGACCTGAAATTGCGTGGATGTCGATGGCAAAATATCTATGCAGATGGGGCGGGGGATGATTACATGACCGTCTCTCTCTCGTGTTGTATCACGGTGCAGCAAAAAAAAATTGCAAAATACGGTTGGGACGGCGCTCGTGTACGCGTTCTTTTCGCCATTGTGTCTACTGTACCGTCCTTGCCTTCCTCAAGAACTTGAGGCAAACGGAGAATGTTTGAAAAAGTTGCACACATACATACATGGACGCCATGCTGAAAGTCAGTCGTTTACACCAACCTGTGACAGAGTAGTTTTTCTCTCGTCTTGATCATTTCATCACCACCGCGTTTTTTTTAAAACAACAGCAGCAGCAGTAAGTAGCACTCCTGCTGTATTTACACTACATACAGCTGCTGGACCGCCGTACGACTGCTGTATATATGTACATCATCACAGCAACAGAGTTCGTCAGATGACTGAACTCACCGGTTTTCCGCTGCCACGAGCGAACGCGTTGATGATTGCCACCTAGAACACCTTGGGCAGCTCGATACCTGGCTTGCTTCCCCCGATCTGCGACCTTTCTCTTCCCGGCAGCCGCAGCAGTAGCAGGCGGTGGGT